ACGTTAATATAACCCAGCCAACGGTAAAATCTCATCTTCCCCAAATATTTACCAAAACCCATTGAAGAACCCTAATTTCTTCTTCTTCTAATTTCTGTCGAAAATCCATCAAATTTCCCTTTTGAAGTTTCAATATTTGAAGGCAAAGGTTATCCTTTCTCCTTCCTAAGAACCCTAAATCCTTTCTTTTAGTATTGTTATGACTTTGTCCTAAAATTGAATGATTCGATTTTTGAAAGCAAATGTAAATTATCTGACCTTGGTGTTATCTTGTTGTGTTTTAGTTGTTCCAATGCCTTCAAAAGGATTGAATTTGACAAGGCTTTGCACGGAAGAGGAAGAAAATGAGTCAAGTGGAGAAATTCAATGCAACCATGGCTATGTGCTGCCTTTGTTAACAGCTTGGACCCCTCGGAACCCAGGAAGAAGATATTGGGTTTGTCCATACTATGGGGTAAATGATTCTTAAAATTGTTTCACTAATTGAGTTGTGATAAATTATTATTCATTAATTTTCTTTTGTTAATCATCTTAGGGTCCTTGTTCTTGTGATTTTTGGCTTTGGAAGGATTCTGAAATTGATCCTAGATCCAAATTTGTTATTCCAAAGTTGCTTGAAAAAATGGGTGAACTTGAGAATGCATTAGAAGGCTTTGAAAATCTTGCCAAGTCGAGGACTACGCTAAAGGTTGAAAACAGCATAGAAGATGACAAGATGAAAGAAGATTGAGGTTCAGTTGGTGAAATTGCAAGATGATATGGAGAAGATGAAAGAGAAGGAAAAGAAGTGGAAGAGTCAATTAGTTAAGTCAAAGAGTAGGAAAAATGCACTGTGGTTCATTATATTGGGGATGTGTATTATTCTTGTTGCTTGTGGGTATCCAGGAATCTCATTGAAAGAAGATGCAATGAGGTTGCCATTGTGAAGCTAGTTTAGTTATCTCACTATGAAAGTAGTTGTTGGTTGTAGGATTTAATTTGTATGTTTACAATGGAACTCTCACTTTTGTAGTTCTTGCTTATCAATGGAACTCTCAATATGTATTTGTAGTTCTTGCTTATCAATTATTGTTTCAATACACCCAAACGACTCCAGTCTCTTGTTAAAATAGATTGGACAGATCATGGATTTGAATCTGAATACTATTTAAGCTAACTGTTTGAACTTCAAACTCTAAAACATCATATATGCATTACTTGCATAAAAGTCACAGAATGACATTACATAACAGTAGTATTACAGTCATTGTATCAGCGGCAAAACATAATTGTATCAACAGCAAAACATAATTCCTGTCGACAAAACCAAAACAGAATTGTAGTTTGTTACAAAGTAGTCTATAGCTACCTACATTAACTTGTCAACATACAGAATTGCAGTCTATAGCTACTTCAATCTATTGCATTTCAGTTTTCAAACAAAATCAAAGCTTCATCAGCTGGGTTGATTTGCAGTGGTGCTTTCCTGGCTCAACTTAGCAGCCCTACACCTTGTTTCAATGATCTTCTTGCCTCTCAATTGGTGGAGCTGCCTAGTTGTCATAGCTTCTTTACCCTTCCACTTAACACCTCTTGTTGGTCGATGGCCTAGATCTCCAGTTACTTCTGCTGAGGACCTCACATCTCTAAAGTTTGTAGATGACATTCCAGGCTGCCATAAACCAACAGAAAATCAGACAACTGAAATGACCTAAATATGATAGCTTGTATTGGACTTACATTTTTAATTTTGAAGCCACTTTGAGTGTGTAAAACACCCATCCCAACCATCCTTGGTTTCTTAAAATGTGTTCTTACATCAGTTCTAGTACAAACATCCTACATGAAATAAAGAAAATTAAAAATCTGATAATTATTTAAAAAAGACAAACAAGATATTAAAGGGAAGAACTTCACCTTTTCTTTAGCACCTTTTGGCCTTCCCCTTCCTCTTCCAGTGCTTTGCTTTGGTAGCTTTGAACTACCAACACTTGTAGGCACAGAACTTGATGGGGTTGCAGCAATATTACTTCCAGCAGCCTTTGCACATCCCCTCTTGTTATGACCCTTGTTATGACAATTGCTACATGTCATTTCCACTCCACCTTGTAGGATTACCTTTTGCATGTCTGTTATTATGGTCAGATTTGTACCATCTCCAAGCTGAAGATCACTCTTTAAAATGCTAAAAAACCACCTCCAAGTGTGCATATTTTCAATCTCAACAACAACCCAAGCAAGTGAAAGCATCTGATTATTTCCATCTTTGCAAACTGCTACAAGTAGTTGGCCTCTACAAACCCCTTTTAAAAAACACCCATCCAGTCCAATGCATGGCCTATAACCAGCTAGGTATAACTTCTTCATTGCATCAAAACAAATGTAGAACCCAACAAACATTTCTTCCCACCTTCAAAAGTTTCCTCACTAAGTTTCACTACACATGTACTACCAGGATTAGATCTAAGCAACTCATCCCTATAATCTAAAATCCTCCCATACTCCAATTTATGATCACCCATTATCTCTTTCAACTCAATATTTTTTTCCCTCCTACAAACTGTCCTCCCAACATATAATCCTAATTTCTTTCTAATCAGCTTTTGAAACTTAATTATTCTAATGTTAGGTTGTTCTTTTATCCTCTCATTGAACCTTTTAGCCAAGAACTTTGAATTACAGAACTTGTTTCTGTTAGTAGAGTCACATTTGTGAACTGGATTGTAGTTCTTGACTACAAAATCCTTAGTCCTTGAATCATAACTAGCACATAGAAGCCAAGGACAGGATGCCTTCTTGCACTTAACCCTCACCCTTGTAGGTTCATTTACATACTTTTCTATAGAAACCTTTTGTTGAACAACATATTTAGTTACAGCTTCTCTGAATTCTTTCACACTTGCAAATGCAAGTCCAGTTTCCCAAACTATCTTCTTGCAAGTCTTGTCAAATATTACTCTTCTTGTAGTCTTTCTTCTTCTAGCTTTAACTTTCTGTTGCACCTCCCCTTCATCTTCATCATCAGCATCATCTGGATCTGTCTCAAAACTAGCAGCTTCATCTGAGGGATAATAAGGCTCATCACCACCTATCTTACCTTCTAAAGTCTTCTTCTTCCTAGATGCATATTCATCATACCCCACATCTGGCCCTCTCTTACCTAGTTTAACATGTTCTTGTTCAGGAGCACTTTCTTTCCTCTTCCTCCTCTCTACAGTCCTGCTTTCTGCCCTAAATGCCCTGTATTCCTCATGTATATCACTGCCATAATCAGCTTCTCCTTCTTCAGACAACTCTTCATGGTCTGAATCTGAGCTATTATCAATGCTACTAGAGTTTGAGGAGTTTGATTCAGATGAGGAGTTAGAGCTATCATCTGTAGTAACAGCTGTGGGCACACTATTATTGGCACTATTTTCAGCAGCATTAGATGCCTTTTCACTAGTTCCCAAACCCTCACAGCCCCCCACATCTTGACCAGATTCCTTCTCAAAAGTAACATTACTATCATCCACAACTTGGCTGACATATTCTAATAGGGGGGGTCCACTACAGGTTCTTCAACCATGTGCTCTACATAAACCTCCAAAATATCCCCATTTTTTAAGTCTTCACAAATACCCATAAGGTCCCTATCAACTTTAATTACTACCAAAGCAGGACAATTAGGTGGTCTAACATAAATAACAGCAGAAGAAGCATTGTAACCAAACTCTTTTACATAACCTAAAAACTCAAAATAAGAGAACCTATCAACATCTACATCAAAACAATCAGTCATCACCCCACCAATATAATCCTCCATTGAAAAGGAATCCAACTTATCCATGGAGATTTTTCCACCATGGAAAAACCTTAGAGTAACAAGTACAAAGGACATTGCAATACCTGAATATAGTAGAAAATAGAGATAATTAAGGATTAATATTTACTATTGGATCCCTACAGAAGAGGTCAGAATACATACAACAAGAAAAAATTGAAAATTGGTTATTATTACACCTTCAAAATTGTATTTCTGTTCACGATTTTACACTGATAAGATTACAGTGAAGAAATTGGAAGCAAGTTCAAAACCCTAGAAACGGATGATATTAAACAAACTAAAACAAAGATAACATTTAGGATTGATGATAGAGAAGGCTAGGGTTGATGTGTTTACCTCCAAACTAAAACAAAGAGAACGTTTGCACTTGATTCTTCAGAGACCTTCAAGTTCGAACGGGTCTTCAACCAAATCGTCAACGGAAACAAATACGAACAGAAGTAAAGAAGCAAGAACAAGGAAATCGTATGAATTTTGCAACAGGTCCCTTCGATTTTGGTCAGGCAAATGGATTTTGGAGATGCTAATCGAATCGTGGAGGGTGGGGTAAAAGGTTAGGGTTCTTGATTTTGAGAATTTTTGACTGAGGGGTTAAACGACTTAGGTTATATCTATTTTAGGTGTTTTTATTTATTTACGGGAGGTTTTAATTACGTGGCTTCATAATACAAGCGCGTGTAAACCACTTAAGTTATTATAGTTGGGCCAGGTTGTGAGAGGGAGTAACTAAATACATTACGTTAAACAATCGTGGGGTGCTAGGACACCCGTAAAGTTAAGGTGTGTAAATGACTTTTCAGGACAAGTTGAATGGGGTATTTATGTATTATCTCTTATTATTATTATTATTATTATTATTATTATTATTATTATTATTATTATTATTATTATTATTATTATTATTGTTTAAATTCTTTATTATTAAATAACGAGATCCGTTCTCCAAACAAGTGCCATATATCCCATAATAATACGCCACACCAAACGCATGCAACTTTTAGCAGCTCCACGCAGTTGACTCCCTTTCTCTCTTTCACTGATTTTCCACTTTTACCTAACCCTTTATTTTTCTTATTTTAGATAATTTACGGTGTGAATTTACGATTAATACGGCCCCTCATTTTTCTAAGATACAACTAACATTTAGGAGGTACGGAATCCCAAATAAAATAAAAGGGCTACCTATATTGTCTGATGAGGTAATTTCAATAATAGTCAAATGCCATAGATATATGTGCTGATGGCATTCGACAGAAAATGAAAATAAAAACTTGTTGACAATTCATTGTCTATTTGACAGATCAATTCCATTTAAATGCAAGTTTACTGTTCCATTATTCCATCTAATTCCATGAACTTCTCTCATTATATCCTCATTTTCCAACTCAAGAAAATGTTTTCATTTGTAGTTTTTCATGAAAGTTTCCTTTGATTTTTGCCCCCAAAATATTCAATAAGCAAAAAAAGAAGAAGAAAGAAAACCATAATTTGAAAGAGAGAAAAAAAAAAGGTCAATGGAGAAATCTTTGGGATCTGCATTTGTGGCTGTTTTTGCAGTTTCTGGAAGTGTTGTCCTTCTTGCAATTAGAGTGCATAAACACCTTCTTTCTGATTTCATGAACAAGCTCCAGGAACTTGAAATAGGTATTTTCACCTCTCTCCTTAAATTTTGGAGCTTGTGATATTTAGATTTGAAAATTTTGAGAAAGTTGATTTTAACACAAATAGCCAGTCAGATTCACTATTTATTTTTTTTAGCGAATTTTGCATTGACTATACAAATTATACACAGTTATACACATATGATACATGAATTACATATATATTATACATTCATCTACTATTTTTAATTTAAGCCATTTGATGGACGGCTATTTTGATAAATTATTCTTGTTTTGTTTTTTAACCATTTGGATTTGTCAAAATAACAATCTTTATTATCCCTCTTTATAAAGCTTTCTTCCTCCTATATATAAGCTAAACCCGCTAGAATCTTTGTCCCGATTGTATAAAACAAACTTACTTACACTAAGAATTTACCCCTAATGAATGTGGATAAGTTTTCCCCCTACTATTTGCCTATCCAATTCTTAAATATTTTTTCTACTAATTACCTTATTAGATCAATTTTACGAAATATAAATTATTAAAAAGAAGTTTTGCCAAATGAGATAGCAGATCTATGTACAAAGAAGTTGACTTTTAGATGGTGCAAAGACTTACGGTATCTTTTTGTTCTTATTTTTATTTGTCCATATTCTAAGATTTCTGGTTCAAACCTCTTATCTAAGATGTTGATAGTTTTGATCATACTTGGTCTTAGGGGTGTACATAGGTCGGGTTGGTTCGGATTTTGCAATTACCAAACCAAACCAATTGTGTCGGGTTATTAAATCTAAAGACCAAACTAAACCAATAAAACTTGGGTTTTTCCATCTCGGTTTTTCTAGGGTTTTCGGGTTTTTCGGGTTTTTTCAGGTTTTTTTCCGGTAAAATTTTCGTAGCACAAAACATATAACTTGTGCTCAAAATATTTCTTTAATCCTGGTAAGATATAACTATATAAGGTATTTTCAAGAAAATAATACAAAATATGAGATGTGTCATGGCATTATCCTAAAATAGTCAACAATAAAGACAATAAAATTATGTAATATAAATTGCTAATTAAAAAGCCCATAATAAAAATAAACATAATCTAAAAGTACTAAGTCATGCTAAAATAAGTAGACTAATAAAGGAGTATTAATTATATGACTAAACACTAAAGAAAAAATAAAAATAGGTTATGCATTTCTATCTAAATTACTGCAAAACAAAAAATAGATATTCAATACATTGTCGTTCGTAGTATTGAATTGAATGTCTTTGTTAGCATTAGTATTGATTTGATTTTGGTTTGGGCTTTTGTTAGCATTATTTAAGTTACTAATATTAATGGCTGTAAAACTTATTGGAACATTCAAAAGTTCTAAGTCCAACCTTGAAATAATACCTTAAAAGATATAATTATGAAAAAGTCTAAGAAATATTTATAAATTACATCACAATAAGTATATTTATATATTAAATATATCTAAAAATTTTATATATGTAATGTCGGGTTGGTTTGGTTTCGGTTTGACTTTCTTTAGTTAAAACCAAACCAAACCAATTATGGTCGGGGTTTTTTTTTCCAACACCAAACCAAATCAAATCAAACCACAGTTGGGTTTTTTTTCTCGGTTTGACTCGGATTATCGAGTTTGTGCGATTTATCGGTTTTCTTTGTACACCCCTACTTGGTCTTATAGTCTTATGTTCAAATCTCGTTATGAACTCGAATTACTTTCTTGCCTAAAAGAAGGGTACTGATGATGTTTGAACCTCCAACTGCGAAAGACAGAAAGTTCACCAAGTTAGCTAGCCCTCAACTCCCACGAAACAAAATCTATTTAAATAAGGATTCATGATGTAGAAAGAAATAATAGCTATAACCATTTATTTGGTGATATTTACCTTGTGTGATCAGATAAAGGTCAAGCAAAGAAGAAGGTTATCTTCTCCAATAAAGTTGTGGAATTGGGCTCTGAAAATAATAAAAATGAAGGTGATGATTATATTTCAAGGAAGCATAGGATTAATTATGGAGAATCATCTGATGATGAGAGCTTGGAATCCATGCCTTTGAATTGGCAAGCTCTTTACAAAGGTATCCTCCTTAATAAGACCCTTAGAGGTTATAATTAACTAATATTTATTTACTATCCCCTTTCAATTTTGTACAATAATTATTATATTCTTGATGATCGATGATGGTGACTTTGTAGTTATATTTGCAAAAAAAGAAATGATAGGTTACTGCTTTTAGTAAAATTTCATTTTTATTTGTATGACATATTGACTGAATAAAGATTTGGGGATCAAAGGAGATTTTTTTCTATTACATTCTTGCGTTTATTATTATTATTGTTGTTATAGTTATCATTTTATGTTGTGTTGTTATTATTATGAGTCAAAGTGAAATGCAACTTGATCTATCATTAACATGGTACAAGTTTTACTAATAGTACTCCCATTTTTCCTAATTTTATTATTACATAGAAGACAGGGTAGGAGACCATTAAAAATATAAAAAAATATTGCAAGAGCAAAAGCCAAAGGACTATTAATTAAGAAGTCATTTTGTTTATGTTTCGTTACCACCGAAATGGAAAAAATTGTTTTCTTCAATTATGTGTAGAAGTCAGTTTCCGTCAAACTATCTTGCCTTTTATATTATTTGCTTCTACCAATACATATGTTTTATCATTAGGCTTAATATTCAAAAAAATTCAATATAACACTCTCGGATTACTAATAATATTATTATATTTCTAATATATTTCACTTACCAATTAAACATTCGAAAGCATGTGTCGTGGAAGATAACTTACGTCATACTAAACACACTCTAATCAACTTAACAACAATTACATGTTTATATACTCACAACAAATTTCGAGTGAAAAAAATAATTGGAATTACGAAACATATGTAGGCAATTAGTTCCTTAATAAATGTGAGAATACAACTGTGAGTACCCATTGATCTTGTCTTTAATATGACTATAATATAATTATCTATTTTTTCGTTCAATGGCAAAAGAATCATATTTTTCGAATGAAGAAGGATGACGATCTCCTTATAGTGTAGTCGGTCATCAAGAAAAGTTTGATAGCACTTTAGACTTATTTTGAAGCTCTTATTCCTGTCTTCTTTGATTTGAGGGCTAAACTAATATGATCATCCAATAGTTGATGACACAAATTGTCGTGTGATATTTGATCTTCAAAGAAATAGATTCAAACAATGCTTAAGTTTGATCTTGAGGAAAAAGTTTTATTAATGTGTTCTCCCTTGCTAGAGCCTAGAGTGGCTCTTCCTTTCATCTTTCCTAAGCCGAAGGTCTATCGGAAGCAGTTTCTCTGTCTTCTTAAAGGTAAAGGTAAAATCTGCATACATATGATTACCCTCCCTAGACGCATTTGTAAAATTATGTTGTTTGTTATTATTCTCCCTTGCTAGAGCGCTTTAAATTGATGCCGTTTAATCTCACTTCAAATCGAAAAGATATCCTGATTTCTTTGTTCTTGAAAACAACCTATATTTACAGTTGAAGAAAAGTTAGTAGTGCGGTAAACAAGGTCCTTTGCTCAATTTGATTGACTCATTTGATTTATTAACCAATCAAATTGGATTTCTAAGCGTAATTTGATAGGACCATGTTTGATTGGTTGAAAAATGTCATTGAAATTTTAGTCTCCGAATTGAGTAATAAACTACCAATCTATGTTCTGATTAAAAATGATTTAGCACAAGTTTATGCGGGAGTTCAACCCCATTGAAATTGTCATACAACACACACAAGAAAACATATTTACAACAGCGTTGTTAGAGAAAATGGCGCATTGCCTAGTGTTTCTTATGCGGTCCACTGCGTTATAACTTATAAGTGGTGGCTTTGCACCATCGAACTCATCTTAGCTCAGTATTTTTTATGCGAAACATACAAAAACAACCACTAAAAAAGAAATAAATAATATATCTGAACGCATAATTTAAAAACCGTAACAATGCTAAAATATTAAAAATTTGAACCAAAAGAGTTGCCTCTAAATATAAGGTCGATAAAATCGTTCTAAATTAGACAAATATACTTATATTGGATTTTATATGATAAAAATAATCATAGGCGTTTTTATGTCTTGAATTTGAACTGATTCTATGAATGACCACAGATATGGATCCAATATCAGGTTCACGAGTTCCATTTTCACCCAAACTATACATATATCAGGCCAAAATTTTACATCAGAAAAAAGTCTGAAATGTTCAAAAGTTTTATTACCATTTCAGATCAGAATCCATACAGTTTCATTCTCAGTCTTATTAATCATATTCAAACCAAAAAAAACATAAATAAATTGAAATATATTTTTGACAAGAACTTGCAAACATATCAAAATGTTTTGTATCAGTTGCTAGTACAAAGATATTCCAATTTTCTGAATTCAAATTGGAAAGTAATAAGTCTAGCTAGCAAGTGTAGTTGTAATTTAAGCTATGAGACGAGAGGGTAATCAATGATTAAGCAACATAACTAAGCTATTTTCAAGCAGGTCAACTTACACAAACGAGATCACACAAATCAAATCCAGATCCATCAAAATAAAAAGCAAAATCTAAAATAAAAGGCAAATATCTCTGTTTTTTCCAAATATAAACGCTGTACATTCAACATACTTGTATTACTCTATGAACCGACCCGCCGGAATTGCGTGTTGCCGCCGTGTAAGGATTTGGAAGCAGAAGGTGGCGATGGAGGTAAAAAAGTTTCCGGTTCGTCGACTCATCTGCGACCGGTCCAAATCGGGCCGGTTCATAGCGGCGCCGCCGTGTTAGGCGGTGAAGTAGAAGATAGGTTGAAGAAGAAGGTAGAGGAAGATGAAGCAAGTGCTTGACGCTGCTAAGAACACCAATCCGTACAGAGTTCGAGCCGCCATTGAAGATGATTCTGGATTTGATGAAAGAGATTTGAGATTTAGATCTGGAAAGTAGTGGTGGGGAAGTTCTGATTTTAGATAGAGACTGTAAAAGTTTCCTGATTTGAAATTTGAATGTGAAAAGGACTTAATAAGGGAAAATGGATAAGGCTATAGCAATATTAATTTGAAAAAAGAAAAAGAAAAAAAGAAGATAAGGTTAAAGGTCTATAGCAATTATAATTAATGTATTAATTTCTTAAATGGATCGTCTAAGAGTTCTATATAATAGTATTCAATATTTCAAGTATTCCGTTTGATGTCTCTTTTTTAATTACAAAAAATAGTTTTACATTTTGACAGATGAGAAATATTTACTTAAATATTTTTGAGGATATTCAATAAAATTGAACGATATGGAGATTTACTTACCTAGGTTTTCTTTTTTGTAGAATTAGTTTTGAACTTGTTACGTCACTTCTATGATTGTTAAGACATTCTTTTGGTATATTTATATTAAATAATTTGAGAATTTATTACGAGTTAACTAATTTCATGTTAAGGCGTTCTCTTGGTGATTATTGCATGTCAAATTGCTCGAGAATTAATGATATATTAATCAAATTTACATTTGTATCAACCTATGAAATATATTGTGAATTGCTACTAATGGTTGGCAATCTTTTTATCGTTCGTGAGCGCACCCAATCACATCTCGGAAAATAAGGAAGACACTAATTTGAAGTCACTCCACACGTGGCTCGTCAAGATTAAGCAAAGATTTAAAGTGGCCGCGAGAATTGGATATTATTCGCTCTTATTTATTTTTTTGGCTTTTCTTTCTTTTTTGCTTTTGGCTCTAAAAGATGAAAGTGTAAATTATACTCCAATTTTGGTTGCTGAATCTCCACGCTACTTTTGTTGACCAACTTGATCATGAAGTTATACTACTACTACATTTAATAGCATTTAATTGGACTAGCCAATTTCTTTATCCCGGAGTTGCGTGTGTTCGTGTTCTTATTTATAATTTAAATTTAAAATGTTTAACATCACATGAATGGACAAGGGAGTAGGGTGCCATCTTCACCCCACTCTCCCAAATCTCCCCAACAAAATTTTCAAAAAAATTATTTTTTGGTAATATTGTTCCTTTTAAATGATACTAGTATTATTTATGGATTGAGTTTATTGTCTTAGACAAGGTTGGTGAAGAAGGTGAATGACTTCGGAATTTGTTTGAAGATATTCTATTTTGGCCCAAAATTATATGCATACATTGCAATGGTCAAGCAACAATAGGAAGGACTGTGAGCGTTATATATAACAGAAAGGTGCTTCTTCCCATTCACACCTTATTAAAAACCCAACATTAACATATATTTTCTTGGTTGTATGTTCCGAGCTGAAAGCGTGGATTAGTAGCTATTTGTACAGCAGCCTTGCTATCACATATCAGACTTATAGGTTGCTGAATTCTAATACCAAGTTCCTTGAGCAGCCCTACCATCCAAGTGACTTTTGCTGCACATGAAGCCATACCTCTGAACTCAGCCTCAGCTGAACTTCTAGACACAATCATTTGTTTCTTTAACTTCCAAGATACCAGTGTATGTCCAAATTTGACCAAGTACCCAGTAACTGATCTCCTTGACTCTATACATGATCCTCAATCAGAATCACAATAGGCAACCAGCTTGTCTGCACTTTCTGCAGGCATAAGTAACCCCAAGCCTGGTGCTTCTTTGATATATCTCACTACTCTAAGAGCAACTTCCACGTGTGACACCTTGTGACAGTGTATTTACTTACTTAAGACCTTAACTACAAATGCAATATTGGGTCTTGCCATGGTGAGATACAATAGTCTTCCCACAAGTCTTTGGTAGCAACTAGGATTCTTAAGTTCCTAATCACCTTCTTGTTTGCAGTTCTGAATGCATCTTTCATACTCTATAGATGTGAGTTTTTTTATTCAACTCTAATGGTGTACCAGAAGGCTTTGCTCCACCCAAGCATGCTTCGGATATCAACCCCAATGCATACTTTCTTTGACACATAAGGATCCTTTCTTTGATCTAGCAAATTCAATTCCCAAAAAGAATTTCAACTCTCATAAGTCCTTCATCTTGAACTTCTTCTACAACTCTATTCTGGTGTCACAAAGTAGCTTATCATTGTTCCTGTGATCAACAGTTCATCTATATACACAAGGATGATAACTGTGTCACTATGAATAATGAATAATCATAGTGACTCTTTTTAAACCCCATATGCCGCAGTACCTCACTTAACTTCATATTCAACTGCCTTGGTGCTTGTTTAAGATCATATAAGGACTTGTGAAGTTTGCAGACCTTCTTAGTCTCCCCATGTATGGCAAACCCCTGTGGAATATGCATGTACAGCTCTTCAACCAATT